AATTATTTTAACATAGAAAATGATTTGGAATAGATATGCTCTTCTACAAAAGGATCATTTGACTTATGAAAGGGCTCAAAGAATTTTTTTTAAATTCCTCTGCATTTTTCACTTTTAAGTAAGCATTCAAATAATCTAACATGCATACAAACTTTGAGGAGAACATCCCCTGAACAAAATAAAATACATCAGTATTCCTAAGGGGGTAAATATATATATATAATTTATATTATATGTAAATAATATATATATAATATACACATATTCAATAAGATGGCTTCAATGGTCAAACTTTTAAAGTGATAAGATTTAGAGTTTGCTTTTATAATTAATTAGTTCATTATTAAGTTCTATACCAAATATCAAAAGGAATTACAAAATGATATTAACAAAAGTTGACTCATTTAAAATGGGTAAGAAACATGTCTGTAACTTTAAGAAAGTTATCATTAACTTGATGTCTTATGGCAAATCAACTGTTAACTGCAGGAGTTAGTCCCTGGAAATAAGCCGAGTGACACTGACAATATCTAACTCAGTCATTTTAATAGTTAAGAAACATTCTGTTTAAAATAAACAACCAAGAGTTTTCCACAAGTCAGTACCACCAATCCCCCTCCTAACATACCTTTGAAAAACACTCTTCAGGGGGCAGGGGGTGTCTGTTTTCCTCACTGATCAAAACAAAACTCACAACTCTTAGCAAGTATTTACCTTACCTGCTAGCCAATATTTCTCTTTTTGTAAGGAAATATTTTGACATCCAGTATGAAATTCCTCAAACCTCACATTAACCCCCCGAAATCCGATACTGTCAACTGAAGTTCACTAAAGTTTAGGCTTAAACAAAGCACAGACAAGTTTATTATTAAATTCTTGTATAATCAGCTGTACGTGTATTGTTTTCACCACTTACGGCTTTTTTTTAACTAAAAAACTAAGATTTCAGAATAACCCTGAAATATTTTCTTTCCTTCTGTCTCCAATTCCCATTCTCTTTCCCACCTAAAGTGACCTTCTCTTTCCTTAGTTGTTGTGAACCCCTATTTCACCTCCATCTTATGGTAAATATCTTGTAAAACAGTCCTTCTAAGTCTATTACAACTTTATTTCACCCACTTGGGAAATATGCAACTCTCTCTCCTTCTCTTTCTACTTTATAAATTCCTCAATGCATCCAACCTGTAAGTGAAATTATCTCAATTTAGAAGCTCAGATTTGATTTTGAAGAATCAAGCTCCACAAATAGGAAGCATTTCAGTATTTAACTTCTTAATCAAACCTCTAAGCCCGATTATCATGTGTTACTTGGTCACCCAGTGATCACTCACAGAACCTGTGATCATGTGTTCTAGTACAGAACACCCTCCCCACGCAGCTGGTTATTTTTAGAAAAGTAGCTGTATTCATTCTATCTCAGATTCAGTCCTGGCATTGTAATAATGCCAATTCACTTTTCCTCCTCAGGATCAGATGCAGCTGAAGCGGTCTACATTCCTTTTTCCTGCCTTTTCTGTTCAGGTTTTCTCCAGGTCGAGCTCCATTCAGATACTTTGACAGCTGTTAGGAAGGTTTGGGAAAGCTGGGCTGCCAGTGGCCTAGAGTAACCTGGGATTACCAACAATCTGAGAAGTTTAACGTAATTAGGTGAGCTTCAGAGAGGAGGGGAGTAGGCTTCACCCAGGCAATCCCTGTGCTCAAAATTATATCATGAATTTCCCAGCGAAATGTCTATTCAGTCTTCGTTCATTCAGTAAATCTTGGTGAGAGCTTGCTGTATGCCATCAGGTACGTCTGAGGCTGGATAGACAATGATGAACAAACAGATATAATTCCTCTTCTCAGAGTCATTAGGAGAGACAATGGCCTTCTGTGATCATCCCTTGAATAAGCCAAGCTCTTTCCATCCTCAAGGCCTATCACACTCTGTCTGGAATAATTATCCTCTTTGTCTTTGGCTGCCTAAATCCTGTATCTCAGTTTAAATGACCTCCTGGGGAACTATTCCTTTGACCCCTCCAATCTGTATTAGATCCCTCGTTGCATGTTTTCATTGCACCCTGAAATTTTCTTCATAAAACTTTACAATTAGACATATGAGCCAATATTTGTTTAATAATCTGTTTTGCAAAGATAAACTGCTACCTGGTATACTCTCTATTGATGCAGAATACACTTTCCTATTTTGTACTTTATATTGAGAATATTTTAAGTCTTATCTTTCTTTTAGGTGAATATTATTTTAAGTTTTTAATATGAGGCTTGAATTTTCTGTTCTTTAAATTTTCTCTATAGCTCTATACAATTTATCCAAAAACCTTCCTTCAAATGCAATTTTTATAATAAAATTACACAATTCTCCAACCAATTCTATTTTTTGTGTGTACAACTTGTGTTTTTTTAATATTTTAGATACTGGCTAAAATGACTACAAATGTCTATATCTGATATCTAGATGTTTTCAAGCCAGAATTTTGAATAGACCATACTCAATTTTTACAAATAAAGTTTCTCTACCATATTCTTATCTGGAGAAACCCAGACAAATATGAATCCCACTATTTAATAAATGTGGAGGCTTACTTAGCTTCTATGAGCCTGGTTTCCTCATTTGTAAAGTAGTTATAAAATCTTTCAAGGGTATGAGAAATAAAGTATACAAAGTCCCAAGCAAAATATCATACTAAATAAATATCAATTCCTTCCTACATGTGGGGAAAAAAGAAAAGGTCCGGGGCTTCCCTGGTGGCGCAGTGGTTGAGAGTCCGCCTGCCGATGCAGGGGACGCGGGTTCGTGTCCCGGTCCGGGAAGATCCCACATGCCGCAGAGCGGCTGGTCCTGTGAGCCATGGCCACTGAGCCTGCGGTCCAGAGCCTGTGTTCCGCAACGGGAGAGGCCACAACAGTGAGAGGCCCACGTACCGCAAAAAAAAAAAAAAAAAATAGAAAAGAAAAGGTCCACGTATGAAAATGTAGCCCTCTATGAAATATAATACCAGTTTCCATTACCTAATCTGATTTCCTAAAAGGAAACAAGTCTAACTTTTTCTGCTTTATGGGCTATACTTGAGGGCAGGGGTTGACAAACTTTCTGTAAAGAGCCCGGTTGTAAATATTTGGGGTTTGTGGGCCACATATGGTCTCTGTCAGTGTTCTTTGTTTTTGTTTTTAATAATCTACTAAAAATGTAAAAACCATTCTTGGCTTGTAGAAAAACAGACTGGGCATAGTTTGCTAGCCTCCTGCTTTAAATTCACAGATGCTAATCAATCCTTCCTTATCCTCTTATCTGTATAATATTAGGCTCTTAACACTTGACTGAAAAATTGCTCTCTCAACTATTTATCAAACCTTCAGTTCAACAAACACTTGTTTATATGCAAGGTGCTATACAGTAACTGACTACCTAAAAAGACACATCACGTTGTAAAAGAAGTGTCAATAAAGCTTTTTGAAGCTTTCCTCTATTGTCACCTCTCTTCTTCCTCTTTTTTTTTTTCTTTTTGAGGCTACTACTAATCTGGACTTACAGCATAACCAATTTATGTTCATGACCTCGGGTTTCTCTCCCTATAATCCTGAGTTGAAATTGGTGCTAGCCTGAGCTCCTTGATGAGAATCTGATCAGGCTCCTTATACCATAGAGTTAGAGGTCCCCTACTGCCCATCCTCCATCAGGCTCTGTCCTTCCAATTCTGATATATTGTTATAAATTCACTTGTTTCCCCCCAACTTCCAAAACAATCATTTCTTCTTCTCTTCCCTAGTTCAGCTCACCTGATCTCTAACTATCCAATTTTTCTCCCTTTTCACGTATAATCCCAATGGAAAAAACTCTGAATTTGGCGTCAGAACTAGTTGTTATTGTCCTGCCTCTGACAAACTGTGCATTTCTTAGCCTGAGTACCTTTGTTTTTTCACCTATCACAGGGGTAAAAAGACGGCCTGTGATGCCAATCAGACACAGGTGAGGGCAGAGGAAATAATACATGTGGAAGTTATTTATTTATAATCTACAAAGTACTATAAGAGACCACTGAGATCTCCGGTTCAGAAGTCAGATGTGATTCAAGATCTGGCTCTGGCATTTATGTTTATGAATTATCGACCTTGGGCAAGTTAACTAACCCCTGTAAGCCTCACTTTCTTCATCTGTACAATAAGGACAGTAATAACATCTACTTTATAGGGTTTTCTGGGGATTGTATGCCCTAAGCCATGCCAAGCACTTATCATAGTGCCAGGCACATAGTAAAGGCTCACAAAATGTTAAACATTATTATTATTTAAGGGTAAGCCACTGGTCCCTGGTCTTTTAGGTTCAGTCTCTACGTGCTTCTAAGCATATCTATTTATTCCACAGGTAATTTTATGCCCTTTTTCTACGACACTGGTTAAACAAGTTCTCTGGCATTTTTCTCTGTTGCACTGTGTTCCTCTTACAGGGTTGTTTTTTTTTGTTTTTTTTTTGCGGTAGGTGGGCCTCTCACTGTTGTGGCCTCTCCCGTTTGTGGAGCACAGGCTCCGGATGCGCAGGCTCAGCGGCCATGGCTCACGGGCCCAGCCGCTCCGCGGCATGTGGGATCTTCCCGGACCAGGGCACGAACCCATGTCCCCTGCATCGGCAGGCGGACTCTCAACCACTGCGCCACCAGGGAAGCCCAGGGATGATTTTTTTTTTTTTTTTTAGTGTCTCTCACCATTCAAAGAGCGGGGAGAGGGGAGGGTAGAAATGAAGGAAAGAAAGAGAACTGTCAGTTCACACGCTCTGTGTTATCAATTAGTACACTCAGTTCTGTTATAATGCGGCATAATATGTTCCTGAAAAATCACGATGCTATGCAAAATCATGTCACGAAAAGCCCAGGACTTAGGGGAAAAAACAGCTGTCAGTGACACATATAAAAAATAAAAGAGCCTAGTAAAGACCCTAGCACAGTTTTTCATATGTTAAATTGTTAAAAAAATAAATAAAAACTATAATAAATATAGCATCTTACCTTGCAAAAGACTTGAAGTGTGCTTGTGGAATTGCGTGTCCAAGGGTTGCAGCTTGTGAGTTATTGTGCAGTGGTAGAGAAAGGGTTATCTGAAATTGGAGGGAAAGTTATGAAAATGAGATATGGGTGGTTGTGATTCATGATATGCAGTGAAGTCAGGGAGCTGGAAGGCGTCTGAGGTGTGCGCATGTGCATTTTGTCTATTCCTATGTGGCTCAGTTCAGCTAGGTGAGAAGGCCTGTGTTCACCAACTAGGTAAAAATAAAATAAAATCACACATAACAAATGTGAAATTTACATTCTACTCAAATTGTTCCCTAATATTAATAATGTAGGAATAAATTCTCATTTTCAAAACAAGCATGATAGCAGAACTGACTGTATTTATCCCCGAACTGTGAACTCCTGAAAAACATTCTCTGACTCAGATCCATAGTCGCTATTTCCAAAGTCTGTGTTACCCTTCAATTTCCTATAAGCCCAAAGGCTTTACCTAGAAAAAGCTGTTCTTTCCTTGTCAGTATTAAAGTACTACACATAATCTAAATCATTTTTAAACTGCATCTTTGATTGTTTCTTCAGCTTTCCCTGCTGGGGAGATGATGTGCTATCCCCAAACATCCATTCCAACAGAGGAATAAAATGCCTGGTAGTCAATTACTCACTGCCATGGCATGACATTTATTCAGTTGCCAAATATTTACAATGAGCATCTACTAAATACATGGAAACATAGGAGATATAAGATGAAACCACATCCAACCCATCATAGTAAGAGACAGAGACGCGGCTCAGCAGATCATTCAAAGTTAGTCTATGCTACGTAGGAGGCGTAAAATATTACAACACATGTAAAAATAACGGTAACACAAGACATAACGTGAAGCACCTTAAGAAAATACAGCAAGTACAAAACAGATTAGTTTCAATGTTGGAAGAGGGGACCAGGAGAAATGTAATGGGCCTGATTAGTAGACCTTAAGGACGAGGTAAATTTTGCAATATGAGGGAGAGACTTTCTTATTGTGGCATGAGTGAAGGAAAAAGCAGGACGTGGAGTATAAAGCATAAAGAACAAGAAGTGTAGGCCAGGGACTTCCCTGGCGATCCAGTGGTTAAGAATCTGTGCTTCCACTGCAGGGGGCACAGATCCCTGGTCAGGGAACTAAGATCCTGCATGCCGCGTGGTGTGGCCAAAATAAAAAATAGAAATTGAAAAAAAAAGAAGAAGTATAGGCCATAAATTAAGATACATGACTACAAGTGATAAGTTACGTACCGGACTTTGAATTTGATATGATGGGAAATGGGAAAGCCACAGACAACTTTTAACCAGAAGAGTGCAACATCAGCTATGAATGGGCAATGGGGAGCCCAAAGGGCTGTCAGAGATCCTGAATAAGTTAAGAGACTTCATTCAGAGTCTTTGGACACCAAGCCAGAGCAGCAGGAGGGCTTCCCCAACTACAATCCCAGGCTTTGTGTCCAAGATTGATATTCATGGCTCTACTTAATGGATACTAACTGTGTCATTTGGTCTGGCAAATTGTATAAAAAAGTGGGGAAAAAAAAGAAAAGTTACCTACAAAATGAAGGAAAAGTATTTTTTAGAAACAATAAAGGAAGATGAAGAATGCAATGCAACCTACAGTAATAATAATATTGTCAGATATTTAAATCTGACCATTAGGATCATATAAATAGTGAAGTTAAATAATATGGTTCTGAGTTACATCTAAACATCTGACACAATGTATTTTTAAGATTCAAGAAACTGTATACCAATGTTCCTAAAAGCAAGGCATTCTTAGACAAATGTTCATGTGAGATCTACAGCAAATTTAAGAAACATACACGCATTTCAACTGAGATTTTACATTACCAAGTACAGAGAGACAATATTTTATAAGTTTCTTTAAAATTTTAGAAAATACATTGAGAATTAAAACTACCACAAGTTTCAGCTAGTCAAATTCCCAAACTTAGTTAGTATATTGTATACAGAAGATTCTGTATACAAAGCTCATAACTTTTAACTAAAATAAGAAGTATAATTTTCATAGAGCTGAAAATATCATTTTAGGTATCCACATGTCAAATTAAACAGTTAAAAACATACACAAACGTCAACTCTAAAATAAAAAAAAGTTTTAAAGAATACTTAATGGTTTAATTAAATTAGAACTACCCTATAGCGTAAATGATCAAAAGAATGTATGGGGCTTCCCTGGTGGCGCAGTGGTTGAGAGTCCGCCTGCCGATGCGGGAGACACGGGTTCGTGCCCCGGTCGGCAAAAGTCCCACATGCCGTGGAGTAGTTGGGCCCGTGAGCCATGGCCGCTGAGCCTGCGCGTCTGGAGCCTGTGCTCCGCGGCGGAGGGGCCGCGGCAGTGAGAGGCCCGCGTACCGCAAAAAAACAAAAACAAACAAACAAAAAAAAAAACAAAACAAAAAAAAGAATGTATGATAATCTACCTCATTATATCACCTGCACAAAAATTTTATGCAATTCAACTAAACTATTATTTAAAAATCTAAAATATAATGAGCTGACTATGAGTCCCTTAAAACTCCAAGGCAGTTCCCTTAAGTAAACTTCATACCTACCTTGATGAATTAATGACACATGATTTCACTGAAAAATAAACCAAAAAGGAGACCTCTTTACACAGTTTATTTCAGAATTATTTACATAGAAAATGAGTCTAAACATCTTATCCTCTCCAGAGTCATTTCCTCTTATATGCAGTTTACTTAAACTGAAGAAACTGTTTCCAAGTTTAGCTTCTGAAAACCAAAAACCTCCTTTAAAAGGCTCTAGGTACAGTAGGTACAGGGATATCCTCCTTAAGGTGAGAATAAGTGTGTCAAAAGACAAAATATTTTACATACCATTCCCAGAGTATGATTCCCAGAGTATGTATGAGGTTTGTACTAAAAGTGATTCTGACATTTGCCTTGGAATTTTGGCCTGTAAAGCTGACAAAAGCTTTGTAGCAAGGGTAAAAATAAATGAATCCATACACATCTCAAGGAACCTCATTTTTTTTAGCTGACAAAAAGCTGCAAACAATGCTTGTATAAGTAGTTCAAACTTGTGTGAATTGATAATACTCCTATGGTGTAGAGAGTCTCAATAAATAATAGACACATTACAGGAAAATGAACATAGCCAAGAATCCATTTCCAAAAGGATCAATACAGCCATAACCACGGTACCCGAACTCAAGAAGGCATTACATTTACCAGCACCAAAACAGTGACGTGATCAGTTATTTACTTTTGTTATGTACTACATTGTGATACACTAGTATTAGCTTTCCTTTGTCTTCTGTAGTATAAATCTTAATTTATACTTGCACTTAATTATTAGAGAACAAAAAGTCTCCTCCTGAATGTTAAATGTAACAAGCAAATCGATAAGAACTACAAAAATAGATCTCTATGTATTGAGAATTATATATTTGCCATTAAGCTCAAGTTTTTTATTTAAAACACCCTACATATAAAATTATGGTGTGTTATGAAAGAGTTTTATAAAAAATTATGGATTTTTGGAAAGAGTTGTTTTTTGAAAAATTCCATTAATTGACTATTTAAACATTTACAAGATCCATTAATATACATGGATTAAAAAAAAACACTTTAAATACACATATTCACTACTTTTTTTGGTCCCAAGCAAAATGTTTACACAGAAATTTGGCAGTGTTAAGTCTGTGGACTCAAAGCCAATAACAACCTAAGAAAACTGAACTTGGTAATAAGCACATTTTCATAGTACAACTAACGGTGTATAACAATCCAAAGTAGTTAATATTTATAGGATAATCACAGTATTTTGCATACCAGATTAATTTTAAAGCAATTTTAAGAAAACATGATATATCTGTGCTTTCCCAACTGTTAACAGTCAACAGATTTCTTCTTAGCTATAATTGGGGTGGGGGGGCGGGGAATTAGTCTCTTAAACATCATGACCTAAGGGGAGGAAATCAATCCTGTATATCCCCATCTCTGTAAGCAAGAAGCCAGGAGGCAGGAGGCAGGACCCTGTGGCACCTGGAGTACCAATTTCACCAAGTTCAGAATCCACTTGGAATTCCAAATGGGAATTTACAATATTGTCAAAGGGCTTATTGGGACTAAAAGCATTACCACATGTTTCAAGGTCTACAAATATACTCCATGATAATCACGTCTTTGAGAGCCCTCCTTAGCAAAGAAAACGTTCACAAACTCAAACTTACCTACCCTCACAATCCAGGCAGAGCTCCCCTGAGCGATCCTCCAGGCAATACTGAGAGGACATTCCTCTCTGTTCACTCTTGGTGCCAAGTGACCTTTGGCACATCAACATCAGAAAGGGTGGGGCTCGGAGCTTCAGTTTCGACATTGTGCTACACTGAACAAAGTTTCTCTGGTTTCTCCAGGGCGTTAACTAAGACTTCCTCTTCTTGCTAAGTAAGTAAACACAGCCACTACTACATTTCCAAGTCTTCCCTAAAGTGGTAAAGCTTTAAATGGTACAAATACTGATGGGGAAATTACTAGGTGCTCTAAATTTACACTAACGCCATACAGGTGGGCTATTATTACTCCCATTTTAAACAGGTGATATCTGAGGAAGAGAGGTTAATAAGTAACTTGTGGGAATTCCAGGTGCCACAATATGGTCAACTGAGCTAATGAAGAAGACTTTCCACCATAAATAAACAACACAGAAAAGATGAGAAAGAGTAACGCATTTTAAAAGTTAAATACACAGTTCCACTTGCAGTAAAGAAAAACCCCCTCGTGCCAAACCAAAGCTAGGACTGATGGCCAAAGTGGTAGTAAGCACAAAAGCAAATATTGCCCGCTGTAGCCGCCAAGGAAGAATCACTGGATTCTCTTATAGCTCTTAGGTCTAATTGAAATTGGTAAGGAGATGCCCCCTCAAGGAATGGGATCAGAAGAAAGTTCTCTCTCAGGAGAGCAGAGTTAGGCTAAATTTCTGGCCCGGCTTTTCTTCAACACAGGATCCAACCTGTCCAACCATTTGTAGCAACCCAATAGGGACAGAATAAGAGATCTTGGGCACACAAGTTGGGCATAAAGTTGGCTCTGAGGTGCTTCCATAAAACTGGAGCCATCGTCAAAGGGCTGCAATCACAATTAAAAACTGGTGAGGGGGACAGGACAAATCCACCCACTGTCTTAGTAAGACTTCAGTGGAACTTGGCTCTGAGAATCTGGGTGAGAGGGCAGGGGAAATGTTTACAACCAGAAATTAAAACCCTAAGCCTGTGTCACAACAGTTCTGAAGTCTGAATCTTATTTGTATGAGAATCTCCAAGCTTAAGAAATTAAGAAAAAAAGAGAAAAAAAGGTTCCTGGGCTTGTGATATCCCTGGAGTATGTGAAATAAACAAACATAAAAATACTTTAGAGCTTCCCTGGTGGTGCAGTGGTTGAGAGTCCGCCTGCTGATGCGGGGGACACGGGTTCGTGCCCCAGTCCGGGAAGATCCCACATACCACGGAGTGGCTGGGCCCGTGAGCCATGGCCGCTGAGCCTGTGCGTCCGGCGCCTGTGCTCCGCAACAGGAGAGGCCACAACAGTGAGAGGCCCGCGTATGGCAAAAAAAAAAAAAAGGGAACAGCATCACTATACATAGGTAGGATTTTTAAGCTTGTTTAGAAAAGCACTGATCAATGCCAGAACTCAATGATCTGACAGAACCTACTCACACCAACTTTTCTTCTCTGTCACTTTTCAACCTCCTGGCCACTCTGCCCTACAACTCCTCATTCCTGGAAATTCCAACCCATCTCCCAAGCCATTGGGAAACCTCCAGCACCCTTGCAAAACAGATGGAGTGGAAACTGTGATGTACGACCCAGATCCCCTTTCACAACTGAAGGATTTCTTCCCCAGCTGCTGTAGTACTGCCAGCATACGGGCCTCAGCTATCAGCTCTCTTCAGAATGGCCTCGGCTGAAGTCTCCCCTTGCAAGTTCATGCTCCCCTCCCAGGGCAGCCCACATCCAAAGACTGGCTGACGTGGGGAATATAAAGGCTTGCCCCCCTCTCTCTAGCTGGAGACAGTGGTGAAGCACCATCCCAGTTTTAGAGCCTCTAGGGGCTCAGATCTCCACCAAGACTACAGGGCAGCCTAACGTCCCCTCTGCCCAGTGCTGGTTTCTTCCTTCCACTCCACAGCGGTTGATCTCAAAAGCACTTTCTAAGAAACTTCCAGGGCACTAATTTCCACCTCAGAGTCTGCATCCTGGGGAACTCCGACTACAACAGAAGAGCACCAGAAAAAAAAAAAAAAAAAAGGGCAGGATATGGGGCAGTGCTGTCAAGGAAGTGAAAAGAATAAGAAAGCCTTGAAACCAGCCAGGAGAACAGCAGAAAGTACTAATGTAATCTCTTTCTTTGATAGTAGAAGGGAAACCCTTTTTCAAAATGAACAATATAATCACAAAAATTCCAACCCAACGTATCAGTGTATCTCTGAACTTGACAGTCAAAAAGGATCTTATGGGGTATTCCAATTCTAGCCCCTGTCATTTTGAAGATAAAGCTTTTAGGCCGTGGATCTGCTAAATGCCAAAACTGTTGCTGCTTAGAAATAGGCCCATTTATTCTTTTAAGACATTTACTTTCCCAATAGCAAGTTAACAGGCACATTTAATACCCTGCTAAAACAAGGTTACCAGGGCTTCCCTGGTGGCGCAGTGGTTGAGAATCTGCCTGCTAATGCAGGGGACACGGGTTCGAGCCCTGGTCTGGGAGGATCCCACATGCCATGGAGCAACTGTGCCCGTGAGCCACAACTACTGAGCCTGTGCGTCTGGAGCCTGTGCTCCGCAACAAGAGAGGCCGCGATAGTGAGAGGCCCGCGCACTGCGATGAAGAGTAGCCCCCGCTCACCGCAACTAGAGAAAGCCCTCGCACAGAAACAAAGACCCAACACAGCAAAAATAAATTAATTAATTAATAAACTCCTACTCCCAACATCAAAAAAAAAAAACCAAGGTTACCAGCAGTGATGTATATGTGTGTGTGTGTGTGTATACAATTTCCAGCTTTCTTTAATAGTCATGGGAAAATGTGCAGCAACCAAACCTATAACGTTCCAAATACATATTTTTCATGTCTATTTCTGGTGAGCTCCCCTATCTTAGAAAGGGGAGAGAATCGACAAAAACCCATGAGCCTTGGTTAGATTTGTCCCATGTCCCAGTAATATAATTCTGATATGTCTTTTAGTTCTGAATCATTGGTAAAGATGTTAACGATAGTTTTATAAAAGCCTAATCTGGTACAGGCTGGTATATGACTAATCACTATCCAGAATACTAATAAAAAAACTGCATGGACTAAAATAATATTCATATACACACTCAGAACGCCAATGACATGGGACAAATCTAAGCAAGGCTCGTGGGTATTTGTTGATTCCCTTACCCTTCTAATATAGGGCAGCATACCAGAAGCAGTCATGAGAAATATTATATATTTGGAATGTGATAGATTCGATTGCTGTACATTTTTCCATGACTACTGAAGGAAGCTGGAAATTGCGTGCGCACATGCACGCACACACACACACACACACACACACACATACATCTCTACTGGTAACCTTGCCCTACATTCCACACTTTGTAACCACAAATATAGAGGCAGACAAGATAAGTTATAGCAAAACCTATCAAACTAAGCCCACTGGATCCAAAAAGACATGAAGTCATTTACATAAATTGTTAGGACAGCCAAGCAGAATGGATTAACACTGTTACAATCCACTCATCTTGGAAACCTAAGCAGAACTGCACTCTCACTTCCTCAGTATGTCTTTCATTCCTTCCTCTCCTAAGAACCACCATCTGCTGGGTCTAAGCCAACGCTTCTTCTCCTTCTAACTTTAAAACCTTTTTTAATGGGAGTAAGAAATTAATGTGCTACAAATACGAGAGAATCCAAAAGAGGTTTCTAAACTCTACATTGTATATGTCAAATCTCAATTACATACAAGCTAAGGGAGTTGAATTCATATGGGCAGAATGACCAACCAAATGCTTTAACAACTTATCTGGAAGAGGAATGACAGTGCAATATAATTCATATGGCGGGAGAATCATGTCAAATTATTAACATTTTATAGGCATACAAAAGGGCAAACATGCATGGCATGTGAACGAGAGAAAGAACCAATTTGTTCATATAAAATAAGATCAAATGAGTCACTATGGGTTTAGAGCTATTGTTTGGACACAGAATCTGGGTTAAAGGTAGAAAACATAAAAAGAGAAGAAACATATAAATGGGCACTTCTTGGGGTGAATAAATACAAACAATAGGACCAGCAATACTCATTCTTCGCATAAGTTATTTAGAAGAGTGAGATCATAATTCAATTTTAAGTCTACAGATGGCTTAAGTCTCTTATTATATTAGGAAAGTACTGATTTAAGAAAAATGAACTCATTATTACTGCAAAATAATGTAATTGTATATAAGTGAATAAAATGGTAGTTTTGCCTTAAATTGGCAAAGTTTAGTTATATATTTGGGAAACATCACACAAACTTATTTGATTATGGATTTTAAATGTCATTTTCAACCTAGAAATCACTGTAGGGTTCCAATAAGTCACACTTTTATTTGGCAATTTCAATCAAAAAGCCAACAAAATTTTGAAAAAAACATGGTGAAAACAAAAGAAAAAAGTGATTTATCATTTCTATTCATGTCCTATAACCAAAGAGAAGTTGGAAAGTGTGAAGACCTCAGCATTGGGAAACCAAACGCTTGTGTTTATGCCCCAGGTCTGCCACTGAATAGCTCTGTACCCCGGCAAGTAACTTAACCTCCCTCCGGCTGCATTTCCTCACCTGTAAAAGGAGATCAATGAGACCAATTTGTAAACTCTCATTCACATCTATTCTAGAACACTTACCTAATTCAAATTTAAAAATAGAAAATCTACTTAATTAGATTTGGGCTAAAACATAGCCATTGGCAGTTTTACTCTTTTCAACATAAAACGGTTAAGTTTTCAGAAAAAAATAAAATTACCAAATAGTCAGAAAACCTAATGATAAATGAGGAAAAATATTAGTTTGCACGAGGACATCTATAAATTCACCTCAGAAATTACAAAGAAACACTTTACAGAACCTCCAATTTCTGCTGAAAATTTCCCATTTAAATACAGACTCCGCCGAAACACAATAGACACAAAGAATTTCTGAGAGGCAGGGAAAATGGAAGCTTTTGGCGTGCAGTACCAATATTTCCCATCATTATTAAGATTTCACTTAGAGCTTCCTCATTTCACCTGGCTCAGATGGTGCTGCCATTCCACATAACTGGCTGCGTGAAGGCATATCAAAAGGACTGATAGGATGTTCCTTGTAAAACAGCATTTTTTTAAACTGATAACATCATCCCCCAAACCTGCTTTCCACAAAAAGTTAAAGTCTAAGAAAATGATAGGACTACTTTAGCCTATTAAAATCATGGGTGCCTTGGAATTCTTAAGTGCCATTTGGAAAGAAAAAGACATTTACTAATAAGAGTACCAATCCTTCCCAGAGTACTTTTACCTTAACTCTGTAACAGTCAGGAAATTATCACATTAGCTAGATAACATAACTTAACCTCTCCTAACCTATAATCATGTGCTATAGAACCGGGAAGAAAGCGAGGGAGGATGAAAGGGAGGGGGTAAACCAGCAAATACTGAAAATAACTGAATGCCGATAAGGTACTGTCTTACCAAAAAATCAGGAGAAATGCCCAAGTTTCATTTCAAAGCATGTACCCTCTGAAATGCTGCACAGAATCATCCTGTATATACTTTAACAAGCTAATACTGAGCAACGAGCCTTGAAAAATTAAATCAGGCAGCATTACAATAAACAGAATGAAACGCCCGTTTTCAGAGCAGCAGTTTAGAGAAAGCTGTGTAAATAGCTGTTAAAATGATATAGCCTATGTCATCCTTCGAAAATAAAGCCTGCGATTAAATTTGCACATCAAATGATACTTGAAGCCTGTATGTTACCACTAAATAGGGGGTGGCAGACGGGGCTTAAATCAGACAAGCCTTGCCAGTGGCACAGAGAGTTGCCGTCACGCAAAGAAAACCCCCTGCACAAACACCGAAGCTGAATGCCAGAGGCTATACCAGTTTTAAAAGTGATTTAACTTCTTCGAAGATCATTGGACTAGAGTTTGCCCAGTCAGCAGAATTTAGTTATGGCCTTCGGCGGAAAAGTGCTAATACAATGAACGGTTACCCTGCTTGGGCAAAATATTAAGGGTCACTTATTTTCAGTCAATAAAATGTTGATTCTCCAAACCAATTCTTAATCTTTCTTTAGTTTGCAGTTTCAAG